AGACAAGGGTAGAACCAAAAGCAACAGAGTTGCCATTGACAAGTGAGAAAGGGAAGCAACAAACTCCTCTGCAAAAGAAGGTCACAGTAGCAACCAAATCACAGCCCACTTCAGTGAACTTATAGCATTAAGTACATTGCAATGCCCCTGCAAGCCTCCCATGTGTACCCACATCCCTCAACAAACTTATGCTTTGCTTTGTCACAACTCTCTTTGTTCGCTGCATAGAGAATCACACATAGTACTTTTTTGAGAACTTTTTCGTTGTCAGTCGTGAAATGTCGACTTTGTCTGACAATGAGTTGTCCCAGAAATCATCTGAAGCTTCTGTGGATAGTTTTGCACCGAAAAATTATGAATTTTTGCCATGCGAATAAAGATAAACACAGAACAGCACAGACTCCCCATGTGGCTTTTGTGGTCGCATCGCTTTATCACCTTCGAACAGTATTTTTTCTTGTCGTAAGGGATTTTCCTTTTTTGTAAGAAATGATTGAGTGATTAGTAAAAATAGTTTTCGGCAATGGCTGATTGTGTATCCGAAGGAAGATATTGGGAATTTGTGAAAGCCATTTCCAAGCCATCAACATGTTTGCCCCTGATGCTATAATAGTATAATTTGCATGTTTTTTACTACTGGTGCTTTGAGAGGTTTAAAGTGAACTCTACATTGTTGAGTTGCACTTTGGCCTCTTTTGTTTTTTCTGTCTTATTCATGATGACTGTTGTTGTGTTGCTTCGGTGAGGTTTAAAGCAGAGTTTGTTTCAACTCTTTTAGAGCCGTGACCTCAAAGTATTTCTTGGCTTAGATGCAGTCTAAGTAGCATTATGACAATTTTCCAAGTAGCTCTGAGGGGCAATAGAAGACTGAACCGGTGGCATTCAGTTTGATATGAAACAGAAGTGGTTCTTTGTTTTGTCTGTGAAACGGAGGAGCTTTCGTCTTGCGAATAAATCTCACAAAAGTTGGCCTGATTTTACATTCGTTTGTCATGGGTGTTGAGACCCTTTGATAGCACACTGACTTGGCTGTCAGATGGTTGATAGTTTGATAGGTTTTTTTAGAAATTTTCATTTTCTCGGTTTTTGGGTTGCAAGCCTACATTTTAAAGTGTTTCTCTGCTCTGTGTCTTAGGCTGTTTGTTCTGCTTTCCTGATATTAAAGCCAGCTTTTTTAGAGTCAGAGCACACAATTATATTTTTCATCTCTTTTGTATAAATTGAAGTGAGCTCTTTGAGGTCAGAAATCTCAATCCTCAATTCGGCTGTTTTAGCATTCTTATTTACAATGTTCACCGAGTACTTTCCTTTGTGTAAGGTATTCTGCCAGAGAGTTGTTAAAGGTGGATATTGATCAGCTCAAATGTAAAGGTGACAAAACCCGTGGAGGTTCGTAGCCTTCGCTTTCGTCGAGATTGCAATGAGGATGGTTTTTCTTGTCTCTTCTCTTGAACGGTAGGCACTGAACCCGACAGAATTCTTCGCCTAGATCCTTTAAAGTACACAGACCTCTCAAAACAGTCTTCCGAGAGGTGTTTGGAGTAGATCACAAATATTTCTGCAGGATTGAAGTTTACTTGGTGAGTTCGCACAAATCGCATCCATTTTTCCCGCTCTGATCTATTTGCAAGGCTCCGAAGCAGAGAAATACCTGCCGCATAGTCTGCACGATTACTTCAGCTTTGATTAAGCATCGATGCCCAGTCATTTTTGTTTAGTTTTTGTAAGAATAGAGTAAAGCACTCTGTTATGTTTGCTTGACATTTTGCCATGTGAGATTTTCACGTTGAGCCTTTGACGTCACTTCCTCTGAGTCCTGCGATCGACTTTTGGAACATGAAGGTGAACTTAACGGCCCGAAAAAAGAGATTTATGGTGCTCGGTCTAGACTGAAATTTGGCAGAGTTGGTGAAGGAGACACACTGAACACAAAAATGAAAAAAATAATGTATGAATATTCTGATCTCAGGGGCACTTTAAGTAAGACATTGTTCCATTTTTGACATTTTTTAAATGTGAAAGAAAACAATCTATCGTCATTACTTTAATTCATTTCATGTTACTTTCTGCCTATCCTCCATTTACCCAATTGCTTTTTTAAAGCAAATTTAGGCAGAAGGAAGGAAGGTTTGAGGGAGAAGCTTAAACATAACTTACGTGGAATTCTGACAGCCCTGTCATTTCTATATTCCTCTTTTTCTTCCTTTTGATCTTCAGCCATAAAGTTGTACTCAGAATCTTCATGATCCTCTTCACCCCAGACTTCATCTGGGATTAAAATGAAAAAAAAATTAAATCATAAATACATTGTTGCAGTACATTGGACACTTTTGAGCTTGACAGAAGGATATGCCTCATGCAGATTCCAAGTGGGACAAGCATATTTCAGTAGAGAATAGACCAAAAGTTTCTGGCCAGTGCTAAAAGCCTAAGGGTTCATTTAACCAGCAAGCTCTTAAGTAGGCCAAAGAATCCTCTTGATATGATTGAAAGAAACTAATGATAGCAATCCATGTAAACATACAAAACTGGCATGTTTAGGCACTGTACCTGAGTTTATTAGTCCTTGAAGCCATTTCTGCCATTCTATATCTTCAAAGTCTAAATCGTCTTCCTGGATTGTATCATACATATCAGCAGTAAAGTCTGGTGGCTGGAATGTGGCTATGAATGACAACACAAGACTGTCAGTCAATTAGTCTCTCTAAACTGAACAAGACATTCCAATGAGCAAATTTAACCGGAGCATTACCTTCAATTTTTTCAAGGGGTATGTCCTCAAGTGGCAGCTGGGAACGAGTTCTTTTGGCTATCAAGTCACCTTCTTCTAAAACAACAATCTCCTTAAGACAGAGAAAGAGGAAGAAAGTAAACAATAAAACACATTGAGCCGAGACAAGGGTAGAACCAAAAGCAACAGAGTTGCCATTGACAAGTGAGAAAGGGAAGCAACAAACTCCTCTGCAAAAGAAGGTCACAGTAGCAACCAAATCACAGCCCACTTCAGTGAACTTTTAGCATTAAGTACATTGCAATGCCCCTGCAAGCCTCCCATGTGTACCCACATCCCATTAAGAAAACAGCTGCAATGACTTGGTTTAATCTTGTTTATAATTATTTCCTGCTACTTTATTCCTGCTATTCACACATTGGGAGAAAAAAATACACAGCTGGGGGCTTAAATGGCTTTCAGTTAACTTCACCCAACCTTCAAACAAAAGGGGTAATCAGTACACAACCTTTAAATCAAGTTTCTAGACATCACAGTAAAATATCTATTTTCCCCCTGCCATTTACATGCATAGAAATTAAGGATTAACTATATACGCCATATATACAAGTGGTGGCTATCCTGGATTGAGTGAGTGGCCAAACGTGAAAACGAGACATTATACCTGATAAAAATATTTACCTGCAGCTGGGTAATTCAGAGTTGGTGTGATTTATTAGCTTTTGGTGAGTATTTTTTTTCTTAATTTAGCATAGCAAATTACTTGTCTGAGCTGTTGATTTTAAAGTACACAAAGCAGGTTTTTCTGTTTTCTGAAAGATCAAAACATTCACAAGCAAGGGATACAGAACATCTGAAGAGATGTACACGTGGGCCACAACGTTAGAGAGTTTACTCGCTTCATTTTGGTCAAGATGAAATAAGAACGGGACTTAGCAGCAAGAAAATGTATTTAGCAAGGGACATAATTCCTTCAGAGCTTGTATGGTGAAGTTCTCCTCACAAACAAACTCCGCCATTGAACAGGTCAAGTCAAATACCCGAAAAAAGGAAGCAACTAGAACAGCTAATCACAAATGAAGAAGTCGAAGATGTGACAGCTTCTCATACCAACACTTCTATAGTGGACCATGAACATTGTGGTTTCAAATGAGCTCGATGCTGATGAATAGTACAAGTCAAGAGAAGACTCCACCTTTTAGAAGCTCAGAAGGAGATCGCTTTTTTTAATGAGGAGCTTTCAATTTTAGAAAATAATAATTATGCTTAGCTACAGCTGAAGCAGACTTCGTGAATTCAAACAAAGAAATTAAGAGTCAGTTGAGTGAGGGAAAGCAATGAGTTGAAATCACATAGATTTTGCATATACAATCGGTCAGAAACGATTCAATTTCTGTTTACACTGGTTACTCAAACTTACAGACGTTCCAGGCAACATTTTTTAATTTAAACCCAGGGAAAAACGGTGAAAATGTTCCATGCTCGCTCACCTTAGGAGGACCTTCATTTGTGAATAATTATGGTATATAAGGCTAGGCCATAAAATTAGTAATACAATTTTAAGACCTACATGTACACATTATGAAAAAATTAACTCAACATGTCAAGCAATATCACATACTTCATCAGCTGGGGCTGAGTTAGTTGCTGCCACTGGATAAGGAACTTTGAATGATTCCTCTGAAAGCTTTTTTCTTAATGATCGTGTCACTGAGAAGGAAAAGCAATAAACATGTTAAGAATCAGAGTTACCAAGGGTAATAAAACAACAAACACACAAAGGGACATGCTGCCAACAAATATCATTTTATACATAGAATTATTGCATAAATTAAAACATGACTGTTGAAATTTGTGCAACTTGTTGTGAAGACAAAATTTATCCTGTCAGTGTAAACTTAAAAATGTTACCTGTTTTCCCTGATTCTTTGTTATTATCCTTTGCATCATTTGTTTTTTGCGTTTCTGGTGTACTAGGTAACTGAGGTGAAGCAAGGTCGCTAAAATAAAGACAGCAAACAACTTCATGGAGCTATAGCTAAAAATGGAGCTATTTAAAATATCTCAAGTTTTTTGTCTTGAATTACAATAAATAATATTCTATTAGGCCATCCTGTTTTCCTACTTGGTTAGAGTAATATTATTATCATCAATATCATTATTGATAATAATAATAATAATAATTATTTAATAACAACAATAATAATAATAATAATTATAATATTTCTAGGTGACACCAATCATTTTCAAGCCACAAGCATGTGCAAAAGTTGGCCTGAGGATGATCAAGAAAGTAGACAATAAGCCAAACATGTGATGATTGTGTTACCTTGTAAAAGATGCACAACTTTTTGTGTCTTCATCACTTCCATCCTACAGGAAAAACAAGTTTGCTTAATTAACAGATCACACTTTCTTTTGGTGTACATGTGTAAAAGCCATGTGGGATGTCATAAGAACATGAGAAAGTATGAATTAAACAGTTTTCAAGTGTTCTACCAATGCACCATGTTGGTGGTTATGTCTGTAAACTACAAGACATGAATTTTGAGTGGTGCTAATATTGTTACAAGAATACTGGACCAGGAAAGAACTTTCCTACATACATATACAGCTTAAATGCAGATTACATGCACTTTTATTGATTACCTCTTCCTCATCCGGATTGTATTCCTCATCTGATGATGAATCTGGAAGTTCCAACTCTGTGAAATGAATCTCCTGAAAAACAAATAATAAAAATAGAAAGAAAATAGAGCAATGTTTCATTGAATCAAAAGAGCAAATTCCTGCTGTACGCCCATAGATTTAATAATTATAAGCAACCAATCAGCTTTAAACCAAATTTTTGTTGAACACATCTGGGTAGTTTGGATTAAAGTTGCTCTGGAGACATTTATGTATGTGCTTCATTAGAAATTAAAGTTAAGACCTTTAATAAGGCTGCAAATCTAACAGGATTACAAGTTAAACAATGGCCAATGTTTTCACAATGCTGCACTGTTAACACTTTGCAGGGCTCGACACTAACTTTTCAACTTACTAGCCAAGTGGCTAGTGACATCTTAGATGCCTTTTAGAAGTTAGGACAATTTCAGTCTGTTTACTAGCCAAACTGGCTAGTGGAAATTGAAAACCACTAGCCAAAACTGAATTTCTTCTCGTCTGTGGCTAGTGGGCTACCATTAGTGTCGAGCCCTGCTTTGCTTGATATCAAGCCAGTGCTGGAACATGATTAATGGAAAATGTGTCTCATTAGGAGAATAACACTATAATATAACTTTTTTTTCTGACACTATTGGTAAGAGATAATTCAATGGGATATCTGTATGTTGTAATTTAAATAATTTATGGAGTTGAGGTGATTTTAAACTGTTTTTTTAGCCGAGGTTACCGTAACAGTGATAACCCATTTTACAACCTTTGATTTGGAGTAAGGCTGAAGGTGATCTTGTTGTGATAAAAAACAGTACCTAATTAGCATGATAACAAAGTAATTAACATTTGAAAAGCAGCAATGTCTGTATCATGACAAGGTAACCCTTAACCTCACTCATCCTTGAGGGCTTGGCGACCAAGCATGTAATGGACTAATGGACTGTTAATCCGAAACAAAGAAGAAGCAAAAACAGTTTTTAACCATCATGACCTAAAAGTACATTTCAAAAATACAATATCTTCATGGATAAAGAAGCTAAGATCCTTCTGGACACACACTGTACAATAACTTGATCAGACTTCTAATATCTTGAATTGCCGAAAAGTTGTCTTTGAGTGTGATGCTCAACAAGTTTGCTTGAAATTTCTGTAAAGTATCTGATGAGTCCCTTTGTAAGCACGAGATGCCATATCATACCAGCCCCAAAGAATTTTTCACAAGTACCTTTACCACCATAATAATTCTACTTGCAGCACGTGTTCTAAGACTTGTATTTCATACCTTTTTCCTGGAAATCTGCTGTGGTCTTAACTCTTTCATTGGTGACTGGGATGCCTGTAAGGGAAAAATGTAGTGTTGGAGAGATTTCTGTGACCTTACATACAATTTACACGGAAAAGTAGAAACCAAACATGCAAAGCAATCTTTATCTAAATTTAGAAAACTCAAACTTTGCAACTGAAAATATGATTGCAAAATTTTATTTGCTTGACTCCTATGGTGTAAAAACACCTATTTAATTAAGGCCTTCAGAGGTTAATTAGCAAGAACTCTTGCCTATTTATGGTACTTGATATAACAAATTTGTGCCATACATTGTTTTTCATTCAAAACTTTGAATTAATATCTTACCAAAACAGCAATTGGATCACCTTGGTTTGTTTGTTTTCTCTTTGACCTGGTCATTTTTGGTTCCTTATAAACATCATAAAAAAGTAGTAAGTATACAGGAAGACAGTAACATATTGCTATTCAAGCATCCATTTTGAAACTGAATTGACCTATCAGACAATACCTAGTACGTTCATTTTTTGTCATAAAATACTATAGAGCTCTCCGTGGCAATAGTAATAGAGCATGAGATTTTGCAAGCAGAAGGTTTAAGCTGAAATTCCTCATAAGCTACAAGACAGACCTTTTATTTTATCTCAGTCAAAGACAAGAAGATCATAATCTAATCTCAAGTGCAGAACTTATCATCTTTCTTATCTATTACCATAATTTGTTTCAAATTCTTACAAAATCCAGTTCTATATCAGTGTTTCCAGGACTGCTGCCAGGGGTAACTTCACTTTCCTCTTTCTCACATTCACCGGCCACACTTTTCACCATGGCAAGCACTCTCTTATCTGATACAACATGCTGAGGATATAAGAACATAAAAACCAACCAAATAAAAGAATTTTCTCTGAACCCTTTAAAACCCGAACAGTGACCATCATGTAAGTTCTCCTTATGGTAATACTGCTGAATTATTCATTAAAATTGTGAGAATAAAGGAAATGATCACCAACCAAAGAAGCTTTGATTGTTAAACCAATTCTCCTTGTCAGTACCAAAGGAAAATTAATGTAAAAAAAAACAGTATCGAGAATATGGATACCAATGTTTGGATGTTATGGGTTAACCCTTTGGCTCCTAAGATCTGATTATGAATTCTCCCCTCTAGCTACTATACATTTTCTTGTAAACTGGTTATGAGAATTTGGTGTTCAATAAGTTTGAGTATTCTCATTACCTGTTTGTTGTATCATGTACATAGTGAGAAGTAACAGGTTAATCACTTCCAAGAGTTAAAGGGGTAAAACTTCTTTGCTTTGCACTTATGTAATATTAAAATCATTTACATAAAATAACTGAGGTGCCACAATTGCCCAGTAATTGCTCAAAAACCTTTGGATTCAAATCAGAAGCCAGCTGAGGCAAGTAATTTACAAAAGTTTGAGTGTTCTCCAAACATCTCCAGTGAGTAATTACACCAGTACAATGATAGAAATGGCAGTCAATTGCTTAAATACCTGAAGACAGTTGCTTGTGAAAGAATAAATTTTTGAGTCTCCAATTAGAGAATTAATATAATGATTGGTAGCTAAAGTTGATCAATCTTCATTGGAACAAATTGACCTGAAAACCATTTTTTTCGATGTTTCTACGAAATACAAATGGTATAATTAAGGAATATATAGCAAGAGACTAATGAAAGCTAAAGGAGAAAGTATTAGGAATAAAGTTTATAAACACTACATATACTATACAATGGTTGAAACATTATACGACAAAAATCTTACGTGCAAAATACTCTTCACGTTGATCGTTGTTAAATTGTTCCTTGCTGCATTTTCCTCCAACTGTTCATCTATATCATCAATCTGTTGCTGTTCTTCATGAGACAGATTAGCGACACTGCTGCTGTCTGCCTGTGGTCTGCAGCTGAGATTAGTCTGTTCATCGTTTGCTTTCGATTTTCCCCTTTTCCTGGTGAGATCTTCATCTTTCTTGTTTTTTCTCTTCCGTTTCTTATTACTTTCAGGTTTAGGCATTCTTGAACCCTACTAGAGGTTCGCCCGTTATTCTAAATACTTGCGAATTTTCTCTTAGTGGTTACAAAAGGCTCTAAGATGTTTTCCGCCATTTTCCGAACAACCCTGACCATGATGCCTTTCAGGAAGCAAGAATCGTAAGTTTCCCCAGAGGTCAGGGTAGAATGGATCGTGTTCCTCTCCCGCCTGAGCCCGATTTTGAAACGACAGATAAGACGAAAAAGAGCGATATGTAAGACGAAGAAGCAAACGATAATGTGCTATTCAAGAATATTTCAATTTGGACGAAGTTCACACAAAACTTGTGGTCATTATTGGCCTACCACTGCGATTTTGATATGATAATCAGTGCGGACAGTTTTAGAAGTTTGCAAGCCGAAGAAACAGTTTCAATATTTACCGAAACTTTTCCAGCGAATCAGAGGTCAGTTAAAGAATTTTAACCAATAAATGTAGTTCCATTTTGAAGACTTAACTCTAAATTCTTGGATGATATTACTGGGCTGCACTAGGACAAAGGCAGCAAAATCGAAACTCAGTTCCGAATTCGTTGGTTGCCGTGAATCCATGATGTTTAATATTCTTTCGAGCATGAGAAGAAAACGATCTCCACGCACTTGATCATTGCAAAAGAAAGACTGATCTTGTGACTTTTCCGATTAAAAAAATTTAAACATCGTGGAAGTAGATCTTTTCCTCTTTGCTTTTCCTTTCTTGACATTACCTTGGGCCATACGTTGAGGAATTCACTTGGCCAGTCAGCGCATGCTCAAAAGTGAGATTCTTGAATTAGTGCCCTCCGGTCATGATGGACGCGCAAATTCAAAATTCCCTGCCAATGCAAAAGTTATATGCAAGGAGAAAACCTTTACCGTGAACTCCAAAAACTGGATCCGCCATTTTACACAAAATTTTGAACACCTGAAGAGGAAGTGGGTGAAAGGTGTGGGTAAGGTTAGGACTTAAGCTAAGGAACTGCAGTCTTGCAGCTGGCTAGCTAGAGGAAGAAGCTCTGGTTGCACGTCGCCTTCCCGTTGTCGGAGTACATTTGTCTTCGTCTTAAATCGGAAAGTCCTTGTGTGCAGTTTTCCAAAACGACTCGCTGAAGAGCCTTCTGATAAGTAAAACTTATTATAACACTTATGGGAAATTTTAAGAAATAAATGTGCTTGAATCGCCCGTAACGTAGGTACAGAGCTGCATCACTGATTTCCGTGCTCCGGTGAATTTGTTCAAAAGTGTTAAATTTGGATATGCGCATATCCTGCTTTTAGAAAACGACTGAACGTTTGTTCTTCCAACCATTTTCACTGCATTACCGCACTGGTAGGGTAGGACTAGAGCGGAACCTATGCGAACCATGCGAATAGTCCACCTAATAAATCCTACCCATCCCACCCCAGGGGAGGACATCCATCACACAGTAATCTCGTGCGTGGGAAATTAAAGTCTCCTACCCCTAACCCTGTAGGAGACGGGACCTCCATCTATTCGTCCCTATCCGTGAAGACTAGAATATCTAACCATTTCTTGATGTTAAACTGACTATTTTCAACGACTGACTCTGGAAAGCTGGTTTACTAACTTAGAACAGACTCCCCTAAACAGATGTCAACAACTACCCGCTCCATACAAACGACTCATTCACGACATAAACATCACAAACGACCGAAAAAGAACGACCTAACTTTACCGACAGATCGAAACAGACCAATCACGACCGACTTACGTCACTTGAGTCTTACAGCCAATAACATCACGGCAAAACCAACCGATCATTTCACACGAACTGGAATAAGAACATTCTACTGACAACAATCATTCACTTGAGTCTGATGATGACTTCCGCACAGGTTGTCGAAACGTCAGTCACTACCACCGACAACAGTCCTTCTCAGGACTACACTCACCCGGACGATCAGACTACACCTTCACATGTTACCCCGGGTTCAAACCATTTACTGTATAATAAATTAAATAACTAGAAGTAAGAATAGTAGAAGGAAAAACACTAATACATTTCTTCGGCCATCGGGATAAATAGTATCGCCTATTGAAATTAAAAAAGCTTCGCTGGCCAAAAAGTAACCACGTAAGACGTTATGAAGTCAACTACCTTTTAGAATTGCGTGTTATTTATCATTTTCAGTACAAAGTCAGATGCTGTAAAAACAAACAAACAAACAGATAAGTTGTTGAATTGCGTCCGACGTAAGTTTCCCATCGCCTGATATTTATGGAAATTCAAATTGTTGAAGTAATAGCAGCCAGTGATATCTAATATAAATTCCCCAATAGTACCGTGCTACGGCACGTTTTTAAATGCCCAACTACATAATAATACCTTTTGTGATAGTTATTTCACGCAGGCTTGGCGACAAACTCCAGAAGCTCCTTTATTTCCAACCCTTCTGGTCTTTTTTAGGTGAGATAACGCAGAGGTTTGAAATAATTTGTTAGAAACGATTAAGAGGAAGTGTTTGATCACTTTAGGAATCACAAAGATTTGATGAACTGAAGATTTGTAGGCGTTTGGAAAACTTGTCGCACGCTCTTTGAAATATGTTGACTTTAAATCTGTTCATTTGTTTCAGGATCTCCATTTATGGCTAACGGTTAATTTCATTTCGTAGCGATTAACAGAAAAAACTTTTTCTCATATTTAGTGAGACGGCCATCTTAAAGATGACATTTACAAGTGACCGTGCTGAATTCGTCAAGTTGACAGGTGCTGTAAGTCGTTATCTTCTGAACGTTCATAAAAGAGCTGTATCTTGTAACCCTTTCATTTCCATCAGTAGTCATGGAAATTACCATCACTATTCCAGGTGACAAGAACTTATTGGCTGGCGGGTATCGCCTTAAATTTATAAATGAAATCTATGGCAGCTAAAGAGGAAAATTGCAAGGGAGTTTGGGAGTTCAAACGTTTGTAATCCAACACAAATGGTTAATTAACCTTGTTTCTTTCTCTTTCATGTTTTCCTAGTGAGACTAAACTGAATTAAATTCAAATTATTCTTATGGGTGGGGTTGGAGTACTAATTAACAATTATTCCACGAGCGCGCGTTGGATATGAGATGATAGATAGCCAACGAGGCCCGTAGCGCCAA